TCTAGTTGTAGTAGAAATTATACTTACCTGTTGGACACCGCTATAAACCTGTAAAGGATCCCTGTAGCCGTGTTATTATTATAGTACTGCTATTAAGAAGGCCACAGTACTGTAACAGTATCAAAACTATAAATATCTACAGCTCACGTAAGCGAGTTTTCTTGAAAGATTCTGTAATACTTACAGAAAATTTTAAATTTAAAATGTAAAACATTATTTTAAAATTATTTTAGATAAAATTTTTCTTAAGAACTTGTGAAAACTTTTATTATTAATATATTGAAATACCATTATATATTTGTTTATTTTTGCATTTAGAGTCAATCTGAAATAGCTTAATACATACTAGAGTTTGTTTTTGAAAATATCAAGTATTGTATTGTTATAAATTATAACTGTAGATGAGAGTAGTAGTTGTATAGGATTTTGGAGTACTGTTAATGAAGAACTCTATTGACTCTATTTTAATAGTAGTACTCCAGAGTATTACTATCAAAATAGAGTCAACGAAATGTTTCATTAACAACCTTAATATGCACTTAATAAACTGTATTATAGTAATATAACTTACTTTTTAAAAACTGGTTCAAACTAAACACAGCATTGAGAGCAATAGTATAATTCAACTAGGTTGCTTTAAACATAAAATTAAATCCTTTTTTACCAATTATTTTAACATTTTCTAGTCTATTAAATGCATGATAATCATTATATAAAAAAAAACCTATTGATACAATATAGAAAGTGAAATATGAAATTACAAATGAATATGTATGTGCAAATAAACAAAAGAATAAATAGACTATGAGTCTAAAAATTTTAAAGATCATAAGTTTTTCTTGGAATCTTCCTATTTTAAAACTTGGTTAATCATACAAAGGTTCATAGTCTTCATGTGTAGCATTTTTCTAACTATATACTTGGAAGTTCTAGAATCATCTGATCGATAATCCTATACTATAAATAGTATAATTGATACTGTCTAAATATAGAAAAATCCCTGACTGCACTAGTACAATACAATAATTCTTTTACTCTAATAGACTTGATATAACAAGCATATAGCTTCAAAATCTTCACAACAAACTTATTAACTATTAGTATCTTACTTCAAATTATTATATATCTTCTAATACAAATATATATAACACAATTTAGAGTTATATCTCTACTATACTTATAGAAACTATATATGAATTTACTGATTCTAACAAAATAGCTAATAAAATCACTGCTAAATTTCTCTTACAACTATCACAAAATATATATAACCAAATTTGGAAACCATATTATACAAAATTCACTAAATAAAATTAACAATATAATATACTATCAAGATCTATTAATAATTTACAAGATAATTGTACTTCATTACAAGTAGCTATATACTATTCTAGATTTTTATATACTTATAGTTGTAGTTGTGATCTTTTTGACCATCAACACAAAAACAATACCTGCTTACCTCTTGGCAAAGCTATTAATAAAATATCTATATAGATATTTTCATGAATTAACTATAGCATCTCTACTAATAATATTTTAAATTATTAAATCTAGATAGGTTTTAATCACTTTAGTAAGTTTAGATTACAAATAAATTAAATAGAACTAAATAGTTTACTATTTATAGTATATCTATATTCTAAGTTTTATTCTTATAAAATTTGTAACATTTAACCAAAAAATCTTACTACAAATTCTTAATACAAATTATTAAATAAAAATAAAGACAAAATCTCATCTTAAAAAAAAAAAATACTACTAGTTTTATATAAAATACTTATCTACTTAAAAGAAATAATTATAATTGGTGATTTGCCAATCACTTGATACATGATTATAGTATAACATGATGCAAATCATTATATAAATTACATATACTCTGAATGTAGTGTTCACCCAAGAAAAACATTTTTTCGTACTAAGTTAATTGCTCTTTTGTATTAAATTAAAATTGTAGAGCTCATCAAGACACACATCTAATAGTGGTTAGATTATTCAAATCAGCCTAGTAGTTGTTAAGATATCACTAAAAAATGATTGGCTGACTATGGTAGTTTTGCATCTATTATATGTTTTTATTATATTTTTTAAAATTTTCCAAATTTTTATAAATTTATATATAAAATTTTTTAATACCAATTTTTCACACTAAAGTTAATATTAAGGTTAGGATTAGGGTTTGGAAGAGGTTTTTAGAAGCATAGAATATTTTTACTTAGAACACCTCATATCGATTAATTAGCCAGTTTTTGAGATAATATAGATATAGGTATAAAACACCATAGATACATTTTAGTAAAATTTGTAAAATTTCTATATAAACAATGGTTTATTTACATAAAATTTATATAGTTAGCCAATCATTTTTTAGCAATATTTTGACAACTACTAGATCGATTTAAATAATTTAACCATCATTTGATATGCTTTAATGAGTTCTACAATTTTAATTTAATATAGAAGAGTAATTAACTTAGTACGAAAAAATGTTTTACTTAGACGAACGCTATATTCAGGGTATATGTGATTTACATAGTAATCTGTATTACATTATACTATGATTATACACCAGGTGACCAGTGAATCACCAAGTAATTTATTTATTTTTTAAATATAATTACAAATTTAAAATAATTTTTATATATCTTTATTAATTAATAATACTAATCAAAAACTAGAAAAATATTAGTAAAAACTAAACAATTTGTTTCTAAATAAATTTGGTTTAAACTTTAAACTAAAATATTTCAACAATTATTAAACCAAACTTAATAAATTTTTTTTATTTTAATTTTAAAATTTAATAATTTTGCATAAATATGTTGTAGTATAGTCACTCCTCGCTATAGTCACACTACTGATATGAAAATATTTTTAAAACTAATGAAGAAAATTAATTTTTTTAAAAGAATTATAATTTGGTGCACTATGCACCATGGTGCACCCATCACGTGATCCCATTATGATTTTCAGATTTTTAAATTTAAATGGTTATTCGCGTTATTTATTACGCGTCTATACAGGTATTCTTTATATCATTTTTACATATACTAAAGTACTGAATGAATCTTTTGCTTTTTTAGATTACTCTAAATCAAGAACTACACTACAAATAAAATAGTTTTCAGATTTAAGTGCTACTCACGTCTCAATTAGTGTCTGCACAGATAAGTAATATGATTTAATTTCTTTCGCTTTTTACATATACTAAAGTACTAAAACAAGTTTTATAATTTTTAGGCTACTTTATCAAGAACCGTATTACCAATAAAAACATCTTGCTAAAAGTATTATGGGTATTATACGAAATCTCAAAAGGTCGTAAGCAAGAAGTTTGCAATCTAAAACTGTCTAGTTTATGACTGTCGGAATTCTGTTAGTCGGGAACTCAAATAGACTTTTTTGCTTGAATTTGTTATTACTAATACTGAGCTTACTAATACTATTCTTACAAGTTCTTTTTCTCAAACCAAGATCAGACCAAGATTATAGCGTCAAACAAAAACTAGGATCTATGAAAAAATATAACAAGGACGATATCGATATAGCAATGTATTTTGAGGAAACTTCTCGCTGCAGCGAGAATATAAGTAATATATACAGTAATGTGGAGATAGTATCTTTAAGGGATGGAGACTCTTTTAAAAATTTTGAAGAAGCTGAAGTTCACGTACGGCGTTTTGCTGAGCATAAAGGGTTTAAGATATGACTTGGGCATTTGAAAACAATAAATACGGCAGAAAATGAAAAGGCAACTCGAAAATGGACTATTCTTTGCAAGCACTCAGGTTTATTTAAACCAAAAGATAGCGCAAGGCAAAGTACTTCGACCCATATAATATATCCATAGCATATTAACTTTTCACGTCCTTTAAGAGATAATCCTGGTTTTCATATAATTGTTACCACTTTTAATGATAATCATAACCATGATCTATTTTATGAAGCAATATAATTTGAAAAAAAAAACAGTTTACTGAAAAAATGTGGCAAGAAGTTGAATTTCTGGTTACTAAGTACCGGCTTGACGCAACCATAGTACGATGTATCTTAAAGAAAAAATTTCTATCTCATTCTCTGTTTTCTAAAGATCTCTATGTTGAAATACAACGGTATCGACCATCAAATAATGTAATTAAAAACGATGCATCACATTTTTATGACCAGTTGTTGTCAAAACAATGAAAGGATTTTCGCTAGTTTATTGAAATTATATAGGAAGATGAAACTAATATATTAACAAATTTGTTTTGGATAAGTCCAGAACAAATTTTGTTATGGTATGAGTTTGGTGAGTCAATTGGTCATAATAACACAGCGGGTACCAATAGATACAACATGCCACTTTCTTTGTTTGTAGCTCAGGATGATAATATGCAATCTCGTATTATCGCTCAGGCTTTTGTCAGTAATGAGACAGCTGAAACATACCAATAGGTTCTTCAAATGACAAAAAAAGCCACTAATAATAGATACCCCAATATTTTTGTAACTGATGGTGATCCAGCAATGGAACGGGCAGTAGTACTAGAGTATCCAGGAACGCAACATCTTTTTTGTATTTGGCATATTAAAGAAAATATAAAAAAGATATTGCGTAGTAAGTTAGGGGGTTCATTTGATGAGTTTTACAGTAAATTTTGGCAATGCAGAAATGCAGATACGTTACATGGTTTTGAGTACTATTGGGGCAACTTATAAGTTTTCCTAATGCAAGATTGTATCTTGAACGTTACCTTTATGAACGTTAGTTTTTGTGGGCACGTGCTTTCACTACGACAGCATTTACATTAGGAATTCAATCTATGTCTTTCATCAAAAGTCAAAATGCATGCATCAAGAGAGTATTAGAAAGCAGTAATACATCTTTGTGTGAGTTGAATAAAGTACTAATTGAGCGAAGTATTGAGGAGCAAAAACGAAAGCAATTTGAAGAATAGAAACGAGGTACTCCTTCTTCAACAAATATTGTTACTATTTTTCCTACTATCGAATCTTTAGTAAAACGCTATTTAAGGCCGAACGTTTCTCATTTTTTAATAGAACAAATGAAGGAAAGTTTGTATTATATGGCCAGTCATTCTACAGTTGAAGAGGTCAAGTTACTTATTATTTGTGAATCATCACAAAGTAAAGACATGAAAGGTGAACTTGATGCTGTTAATTTATCAGCCAAATATCTTTTGGATCGCTTAGAACGAAATACAATTGAGGAGATTTGGAAATTGTCAAGGGTTACAAGCAGTAAAATTAATCATTTTGTATTTCTTCTTTCTAATAGCTCATATAGTTGTACATGCCTTTTACAACAAAAAAAAGGTCTTGTTTGTCAGTATTTTTACCATTTGCTAAATATTACAGAGAAGATACAGTTTAGTTTATAGCTAATTGCCAAGCGCTGGATTCCAAGAGACCAACGATTAGGTATTGCAAAGGAGGGTATATACTTTGGTCAAAGGTTTGGTAATGTCATTACCAATATAGATACTGCACCAAAGAATATTGAAGGTCGATTTGTGTGGTTACAGCCATTTAACAATAATGAAACAGGTGAAACCACAAACGAAGGATATATTAATAAAATACTTTTTTATGAGAAAGTTTGGGGCCTTGCACGTACTGCTATAAACAAATACATGTTACATTGTGACCATGAATTTGTTTGTTTAATTGAAGAGTATTTGAGCAGGATTCATATTAGAGAAGATGAATTAATTGGAGAACAAGAAACCTCGACACATACTTCATTTAACAGACATACTATTGAAGACATACCACTTGCGAATCTTCGAAAGGTTACTGTTAAGGGAAGACCAAAAGCAGCAAGTCACAAGAATGCTGCAAAAATTACATTACAAGATACAGGAAATAAAAAGAAACATGGACAATACACTTGCGGATTTTGTAAAGAGCTAGGCCACAATGTAGCAACTTGTCCAAATAAGGTAGAAGAGTAAGTATATAGAGTTGATGAGAATTGATTATTGTAACATTATATTGGAGATTATTTGTGCGTATATGCGTTTATATATATCATTTGATTGCTTTGTTGTTTGCATGTTTCGCTTGATTATTTGTATGTACGTATATTTGTATGCATCATTTTCACATTTATAACTTAGAGTTATTGACAAGAATTGGTTGTGGGGTTAACATATGCTTTATTGTATGTTCCAATTATAGTGCTACATAGTGATAGAATGTTAACTTGAAACAAAAATGTTGTTTTGCGCTGTTATTCTTTGGACAACTAATTAGTAGTATTATTAATCAGTCTAGAGCGATATTATTACACTTACATTTCTGTATATTTATTGTTCTTTAGTGTGATATTATTTGATAATCGGTTGATGATTCAGTTGACTAACATTACCAACTAATGCTATAATATCAAGAAAGTGTATATATGTTATGAGTCAAGTTGATTTTTAGGTTGAGTTAAACTTGACCCAAGTCAAAATGATTCCAGCAAAATTTTAGAGTTAGTGCAGACCGAAATTACGTTGATGCCGGCCAGGTTTTTTAATTGATTAAATTGACCTGGGTCAAGTTTAACTCAATCTAAAAACTAACTTGACTCGTAACATATATACGTATATACCAGTATGTGAAAACCTGATACTACGCTTAATAAAGGTTTAATAACAACTGTTAATTGCTATTACTGTCAATTTTTGAGTTCCGGTTTTACTTAGTTATGCATGTGTTTAGTATTTAATATGGTATATATTGTAGTAATATAGTCGCCAGAACCGAATGCTTGTATAGGTATAGCCATTAAATTCGAAAGATTTATTATCTTACTGGACTAGAGCTGCCTGCTGCTGCAAAGTCGCAACTTGCAATTTACAGCTTATTTATGTTGTAATTATTACAAAATAAGTCATCATTTACTAGATTAAGATGGTTACGTCTATTGTGACAATAAGTTGCAACCTAGTTGCGCTATAAAAAAGTTGCAATTCATATTTGCAGCAAGCAACACTATACTGGACATGTAATATGTATATGGTTGTTTAGTTTTAAGATTTGGGTTAGAGTTAGGGTTAGGGTTAGGGTCGAATCACGTTACCTTGTATTACATCACGTGATACATCAGTTATATAAATTATATGGGTATCGATCATTTGTATTTATTTGATTATGTAAGGGGTGCACCAAAAAAAAAATCTATTAAAAAATATTGTAATTATAAAAAATAAAAAAATATCTAATATATATAAAATAAAATAATCATATAAAATTATATTTATTGTCGTGGCTGAAGCTGGAAATTAGATAAAATTAGATATCTCGATTTAAAAATATAAACCTTACCAAAATTCACTTATATATTTTTATTATCAAAACTAACCCTAAAGCCTAAGCTAGCTATAAAAAAAGCTAAAAATATATCTCCAAAATTTTTAAAATTTTTATATTAAAATATTTAAAATTTCTAGCTTTAGCCGTGATATTTATTAAAGTTTTATATTTTATATTCTCAAACTTATCATTATCATCACAAG